AATTAAGTACTTATTGAAAATCTAAAAATAAGGGATATCCAAATTAATTCCCATCCAGATCACAACAGACGTCATTTACATATGAAACAATGAAAAAATGAAATATATATATATATATATATATATATATATATATATATATATATATATATATATATATATATATATATATAATCAACACGTACAGTACATGCACATGCACACGATGTACAGGTACAGTACATGTATACGTGAACAGCAAGTTGACGATCTATGCCACATCTAACTGAATAGATTAACAGATCCTTTCTAAAAACAACAACAACAACAACAAAATGTTACAGACATCTAGATCACCGACTCCCATATGGAGAAAGACATTCTTTCTTGAGCAACTACTTGAGCAACATTTATTTCACTCCAATGCAGACGAATAAATAGTCTTTGCGTTCCTAAAAAAATAACATCATTGAAAACTATGCATCGTGCAAACAGAAAGAGCGAAACACTTGCCTATTTCCTCTTGGATATCTGGCTATGCTACAATTAAGTTCCAGGGACCATCCCACGGCTAGGGTATAAAGATTAAAGTTCAACTTTGTTGTCTGAAATGCTTCAATTTTATTATGATCTTCTTCTTCCGGAGAGTTGGCGGGAGATAACGCGAGACTGTATGATGACGTCTCACCGCGCATCATTGTATCGGTACGCTAAGAAAATTAATTCATTGGCTTCTTACAGATTTCATTTGAGTGTGCACGAGCATATGTCAAAATATCATACCCAACTATTTAAAAGCAACGTTTTGTTTAATTAATGTTATATTTTTGATATTTCTCACTGTGTATCGTGACCCTGGCATCGTCAAAAATAGTCCCTAGAGGTGTAAATGAGTTGAGGCAAAATGGCGGAGTGAGAAGGGACAGGAAATATACCAAGAACATTTTAGCAGTGTGCGTGTCACTAAAGTGGAGCTTTTGTTAAATCTACAGGCTGTCTGAGACGATTGAAACTCTCTTTTGGGATTACAGTACATTTGATGTAGGACAAGATCTTTAGAACCGGTGATATTTTCCCATCAAGGTGAGTTATTTCCTCCCCCGAAAGGGATGTTTTTAATGACAGACACAGTGGCAAGAGCCTCTAACACCTTCATTTGTTATCGACAAGTCTCTCCATTGTCAACTTTTACTCCCTTGATGACAAGTCTTCTGGAAGTGAACCAAAGGAATAAAACGTCAAATTACAATGGTGGTTGCCGCTTTTGAACTGCACAAACCGGTTGAGCACAAGACTAGTTTCTGATATCAATGGGCGTGAATCATCTAGAGTCGGTTTGTGAATGTCATCTTGCAATATTTTATTTTTATTTTTTTTTTCTACAAGTAATTTCATGTCTGGGGATTCATCAATCGTTATTCATATCACCCGAGAGTAGTATTATATCAGAATTTTACTTTTTTTGTGCAATGGATCACCATTTGTATACCAAGTGCATTAGCCCCTGCTGACCTGGAACACATTGTTTTAACTTTGGGAATTAAGCAGCACTTAATAGGTGTTAATTGTGTATGTGTGAGTGTGCGTTTAAGGTGGATCTCGGAGATATGCATTTTGGTGGCATTTACAGATTTGTTCTTAAAAATTTTGGAATGACAGTTCAGAAAGTTGCTAGGTGTGTTGTGAAATGTGGAGGTGGGTGTAGGATATGTGGGAGTTCGTCGTAAGTCGTAATTAAGCATTTTATACTCTATGTGCAAAGTTTGGGAAGTGCATGCAAACAAATATTTGTTCTCTTTATAATTTATCCTTTAGATATTCCTGAGCATAACCTAAATCTAATTCTGATTTATCTTTATCTTCTCTAAAAGGTGCAAATAGGTCATGAGTAATTGGAGATTGTTCATTTTGTAAACATTGTTTTGGTATCTAGATAAGTAAATGATTTAGGTCCGTTTGCTATGTCCTTGTTGAGGACCAAGATTAAGCCAGTTATTAACCAAGTGTGGAGATATGTGCCTGATTTACAGTGCTTTGCATACATGTATAAGTGACTGGACAATGATTCTAGATTACTGATAGCATATCATTGAACAGATTCAGTGATAATTACATGCCCTTGCATTTTTCTTACTTCTGTTTCTTTCAGCAATAACTCTGTATGTGGAAAGAATATTTTATTTTATTCCTGGGGTAGCCCTAACACTTGCCAATTTAGCAAAATGCTAAAACTGACTTAAGTTGGCTAAACAAAGACTAGTTGATTTGACTTGTTTTTAGTAGAATTTAAACCATTTGGAGAAAAAAAAGTGATGAAAAAGTAGTGATTTGGCAAAGAGAAAAAAATTGCCAGCACTGCCCCAGTATTCATAAATTAATTTTTATAACAGACTCAGTAGTCTATATTTTTTTCAATGGGTCATTATTCATTAATGCGAGCAACCAGTTGGGGTACAAACATTATAGAAGTCATTGTATTTATGACCTGTTGTGTTATGTAGTAATAGCAATACACTAACAACCAAAAACAATAGGGATGTAGACTGAAAATTGCATCAAGAATGAGAGCAAATGTGTATATTTGACAGCTTTGTTGCCACCCAAGTTGTAGATATGACTGGTTCTAGTATAAAAATTTAATTCTTCTCTTGCTGAAAATTGAATTTCTGGTCAAAAAAGTATCAGGAAAAAACTCCATCTAGTTTCATGGACTACATTAGTCATTATATTGGTATGCCTAGCAGTGACTTTGGAATCAAAGCAGAAATGGAAAAAAGCGCCATTCCTGGATTTTGTAGATTACTTATAGATTGTATTTGAGGTCCTGAGGGGTTGAAAGGCATTCTGTTTGAACCCTGATACAGATGACAGCCTGGAAGTCTGCTCTGGAGGAAGCTCTGTGGTTGAGTCATCCATTTCCCGAGTGCATTACTCTGCTAAATCATGTTTGCATGAGGTTCCTCTAAAATGTAAAGCTATTAAAATGCTGCATTCCACTCCTCTACCCCCCCTCCACACAGGCATGTGCGCATGCACACACACACATGCGTTGCACTCATGCACACATACACACACATCTTCTTACAGTCCAATATCAAGTAATCCTGACCCTTTTCTGAACATATTGTTGAAATTTGTGACCTTGATCTTGCAATAGGTTGTAAGTATATATTTTTAACCCATGTCTGGGATTAAAATTATAAAAGCTGAAATGATAATGGATGTTTGTGATTGTTACCGGAGGCTGATGAGTGCATTACATTCCCATCACCGTACTGTATAGTGAGATATCTGGCAGGTGGTCAGAAGATAGGGGATCATTTGATTATCACTGGTGTAATGGGCCATTCCATTCATTATTCATTACTCTCAGTGATCTAGCAGATTGTTTGGGAACTGTGTTTTTGCTCATTCTCTCTCTCTCCCTCTCTCTCTCCCCCAATCCCCCCCCCCCGTGTGTGTTCGTGCGTGTGTGTGTGTGTGTATGTGTGTGTGTGTGTGCGAGAGAGAGAGAGAGAGAGAGAGAGAGAGAGTGAGTGAGTGATCTTGGAGAAATCATGTTATAATGCAGTTCCATAGATCAGACACTTAACCTGCACAAATATGTGAATCATCCTGCACTGAGTTTATATGATGGCTAGAGGGTAGGAAGAGGGTTTGGGGGGAACAGTTTACAGTGATCACCGGCGGCAGTAATTCATTTGCTGCAGGGAGCTCAGAACTATTAAATTACTGATATATATATATAATATGGCAACAGGGGTGTGGTATATACCAGGTTACCTCGGGACACTAAGGCTGTGTTCTGAAGTGAGATAACTCAAGACTGAAAAAGTATGTACAGTTCTCAGGGACCAATCTGACAATTTTTATTTAGATCTTCATACTGAAATTCAGAAAATTAGGTTAGACTTTTACACCATTATCAGAGAAATAAAGAAAATAGTGTCCAGTAAATATTAGTTGATAAGGAATTTTTGTTATCTTGGAAGTTGACTTGGAAAGAGAAGGAACAAGATACAGCAGTCTCAAAATACAGTGAAAGGTTAATCATCTGCACAGATGGCCATACAAAAAAGAACTCATTTAGTCTGTCAAAGATAAAGTCACCTGTTCAATGATGAAGCCACATTGTCCTGCAAGACAAAGATAAAACAGCAGCCCATCAACCATGGAAATTACAGCGACAGTTATTAACGAAAATGACCAGATTGACCATTGAAGGAAATTACCAATCTCGGAGAAATAACCAATCTGCTTCAATATTGACAACAAAGGCATGATCTGGGTAATTTAAAGTGTTGGTCACTGCTAGAGATAACAGACACATAGAGTTGCAATGTGATTGATCAGCTGACACTAACATCCTATTGTCAAGGCAAATGAGTCTTGTGTTAGAGAGGCAATCGTATCAGATAGTGGCTGATTGGGTTTTATTGACCCGCTGATGGGTTAGCATTGGTGCTAGTAATGTATGAATATAATGTTTTAACATGTGTTTAGTGATTCGAGAAAGCTTATCCATCAGAGAGCCCAAGTTCACTCATTCTCTTAGCAGTTTCTGTGGTGTTGGAGATGTTCTTGTAAGGTATGACCTCTGGTATATCCCATATGGAGGGGGGGGGGGGGCAGTCAAAATTTTCTAAGGCATAATAGAGTTTTTCAACATCTTCTCTCTAAAGGCAGTAAAAAGTAAATGTTTTTGTTTATACCTATATGGAGTATGATTTTTCTGTCATTCAAAGGACCTTGATCACACAATTAATAAATTACACTTCAAAATTATAGTTTTTTTTTAAGGGATCTGCCTATTAGGAAGAGAAACCAAACCTTTATGTGAATTTTTGCATTTTTAAAAAGGGCAATTCTGTAGACACCCACAGATCTGGTAAAAGAAAATAGAGGATGGGTCAACTTATTCTCTTTTTTCTCTGAAATGATGTAATCGTCCATGGAAATATATGCCACCCTATTTATTCCTATGATTAGTCATGTAATTGAGGCAAGAAGAAGGATGTGCTGTTACAATGGGGGCAGTGATTCAGTCATGTGTTATGTCACCAAGGCCACAACAAGTGTCTGTTCAGCTACAACTGTTCAAAGACTGAACCCAGGAAGAAGAAACATTGATTGCAATCATCATCTGGTGCAGGGTCTGGTTCATGGTGTGGTGCCTTTGTCACCTCCATCCAAGGTCATTTTGCTGACAGATTAATTGCAATCAGTCAGTCTACTGCATAGGATGAAATTGTTGTAGTTGAGGTGTAGTTGGACACGGCCAAATTTACAGGTGAAAGAGGACACAGGAGAGGAGAGAAAGCTGGGGAGGTATACCACAAAGTGTTGGTTTGTCACAGGTATTTCCTTAACTTCTATGAGCTAAGAACCACCTCTTGTTTGTTTACAGGGAGGAATCTTTTAGATAGCATTGGATAAGGTGCGGAATTTTCTTTAGAACCGTTTTGAAACGGGTAAGTTAAGCTGTGAAAGCACAGAAGGTTAACCTGTTTCAGTATTTAATTAAATAGCATTCACTGTTGCCTTCTCTGTGTTATAAAACCTTTACTTCTACAGTTGTTTGTGAATGTAGGGAATAGTAGGAACCTGCTTTGGTATGTGGTAAGAAGTCCTTGAATGTGTGTTATTTTCTGACTGGCAGCATTGCATGCCAACATTTGCTTTGATAAAGTTACCCTGTATTATATCTCAAGATTAGAATTTAAGTATCATTTTCACAGGATCAGTTTCTATGGTAAAAACACATTTTTGGCTCCCAATTCTATTTTCCTCTAGTTTCTGAGGACAACAGGAAATAGTTTTAAAACTTATTTCTGGGATATTATTTATAACTCCTGGCAGTGGAATTTGTTTGCATGACTTCCTCTTTACATCGCCTACATTCAGCTTGGTTTTAACCAAAGTCATTATTTCACTAACTCCAGGATGCAAACACTTGTGTGACAAAGATACAGTTTCACAAAATAGTTAATAAGTCTCTGTTTTAAGACAGAAAATATTCGTTGGCCTTATCAGGCTAAACCAGTAGTTTTCTGTACATTGACATTTAACTTGAGTTTTTTTTTTTTTTTTTTTTTTTTTTTTTTTTTTTTTTTGGTGTGTGTGTGTGTGTGCGTGTGTGTGCTTGAGTTAACTAGTCATTTCTGTCATAGAATTTCATGTCCAGTTCTGTGTTTAGTGCACCCAATGTAACAGGGTCTGCAGACTAAATATGATGTTATTGTTTAGTCTTGTTCACTGGAGCTTTAATGACAGACAATGTAATGTTAGCTAAGGAATCCCCTCATGTAGTGGAATCTCACTCCTCAAAATTGATGTTGGGCCACAGGGTTTAGAATTACAAGGATGTTTTCTTACTTTGTTTCTGTCATCTTTCTTGTATTCATTCTTCTATTTGTCTTTCTTTCTTTCTTTCTTTCTTTGTTTCTTTCTAAGACTTGGCAGCCAGAAGCAGGTGTGCCTAAATGAACAGAGTTAAAATGTAGACTGAAATCTTGGCTATAAACTAGTATATACTGTACAAAATGTGGAATGGTGGCATTCATGTTCTGATGAGTAAGCCTGTGTTAGCAGGTGTATGTGTAACCTTTATATGAATGTTTGGTATTTTGTATGAGGCAGTGGTAGTCAATACTGGGGTGGGTTGAGATCGAATCGAGGTCATGTAAAATAAAGTCAGCTGGTGTTTTATTGTGTGTGTGTGTGTGTGCGCGCGCGCTTGCATGCACGCATGTGTCTAAGGGTACATATTGACACCATACTTGTAGATACAAGAACAGGTTTGTCAAATCGGTACTAGTATCATCCTTTAGTTATAAATAATGTGTGTTTTGTTTGTATGCCTCTGGTAACAGATCTCTTCTAACAGAAACTGAGTCCTAATGTAGTGTACTTAACATGTCACAGCTGTGAGTCAGGGAAGTCCATTGATATGTATCAGGACTTTAGAAATTGTCAGTTATGCAGGATGCAATTAGACAGAAAAGCAGAGATTTTGCTCAGTACATTATTGTCTCACAAGCTCACAGTTATAATAAGAACTATGTAGAACTGTGGCACGGGAACTTACAAAAGCAACTGACTGACCTTGTGTTCTCATGCTTAGACCTCAGCAAATGTGGTATCAGAGAAACTTTTTTCTTCGGAGGGGGGGGGGGGGATGTGGAAAATACAACACCGAACAAGAAAGAAAGAATCTTTTCAGTACAGTAATCAGAGATTTGGAGTTTTTAGAAAACGAAAATGAACCAAGTACGTTACTTATCAAGTATAATGATTTATGTAGAGGGAGATTTGTAAGATCTGTTCTAGAAATGAGTAAATGCACTTAAGCGCCTTTAAATAATGTAACTTTTGATAAAGATTTTGTCATTGACAGATAAATTTATCATAACAAATTGTTAATCAAATTCTGTGGTGTTTCAGGTTCCAGTGATGAAATTATGAAACCAAAGATGGCGGAGGAAGTGATGGTCATCGCTAAGTATGACTACCAGGCCCAGGACGGCCAAGAATTGGATATAAAAAAGAACGAGAAATTGATTCTCCTTGACGACAGCAAAACATGGTGGAAAGTACAAAACGCTCGCAACCAGGCTGGATTTGTACCATCAAATTATGTCAAACGTATCAAACCCTCAATATTCTCAAGCTTAAAAAATACGCTAGGAAGGAAGAAAAATAGCGACTCTAAAGCACTGTCGTACACGTCGTCCCCGAGCGCGACAGTGAAGGCCTCCCATAGTGACACTAGTGAACAGGGTAGCATTGGCAGTGAGACACAGTTCTGTGATAACATACCGGCCATTGTGAAGTACGCCTACCCCTCCAGACAGTCCGATGAAATGTCCCTCGTTAAGGGAGAAAAGGTCATTGTTTTGGAGAAATCCAGCGATGGATGGTGGAAGGGACGAAAGATGACAGGAGAGACCGGCTGGTTTCCGTCGAACTATGTCATTGAGACAGAGGACCCAGATATAAGTGTTTATACCACGCCGGCTGATATGTCGTCAGAAAACACATCACAGACTGTCTTGGATGTGGTTATTACATTGTATCAGTACAAAGGAACCAGCAGCGATGAATTAACATTTGACAAAGAAGAGCGATTGGAGATAATCGAAAGGCCTCAGAATGATCCGGAGTGGTGGCGGGCGCGAAATGCACGCGGAGACATCGGACTTGTGCCAAAGAACTATGTTCAAGTGATCACGAATTCCACTTTTGATAGCCAACAGCCAAATGGAACAACAATGTCGCTGGAGGAGTCTCATGCCAGTAGCAGTTCAGCCACCGATTCAGCGGAGTCAGACTATCGCAGGAGCCATTTTAATGTGTCAGGCCCCCTGGTGGACAAGGAATGGTTCTACGGGCGGATATCACGGCATGCGTGTGATGATTTACTTAACGAGCATGCACAGAACGGAGATTTTGTAATTAGAGAGAGTGAATCAAACGTAAGACAATTACTTATGCTTTACTTTAGAAGTTAATCTTGAAATTTGGGGTTTTTAAAATAATCTGGTAATTTCAAGTCCTTTTGTAGCTGGAAACTATTTTTAAGGCATCAGCTTTTTAAGGAACAAAGTGATCTTTAAGTCATCATCTTTGTTTGCAAAACAGGTGACATACTTTTTCCTTAAATCACAAACTAAAAGATCTGCAGACTTGTTTCTATTGTAAAATGCCACTGGTCTCTTAATTTCCTAAGCATTGTATTTTTTTTTCAGTCACTTAAAGTCTTGTTATTTTTTTCCCCAATATTTAAAAAATGAAACACTGAGACACAATGTTCAATTTTGCAATTCCAGGTGGGGGATTACACCGTGACCTTGAAAGCCCCAAACAGAAACAAGCACTTCCGTGTCCAGATGAAGGACAACATGTTCTGTATCGGCACCCAGCAGTTCCAATCCCTCGACGACCTGGTGGAGCATTATAAACGCCACCCCATATACAGGCACGATAATGAGAAACTCTACTTAGTCAGGTCGTTTGTGTACACGGGACAGTGAGGTTGAGATGCACGCACGTGCGTACATGTGCGGTGATTGATATTGTTAGGAGAGAGAGAGAGAGAGGATGCAGTGCAGGGGTATACAAGATAAGGACAACTGTAAAATAAGCAGAACTATTGGGATCTGCGGGATATTGAGAAAGGAGCAAATGCACGGGTGCAATGTTTGTAACTTTTACTAAGTAAACATATTTGGGGGCAATTGTTTAATGCTGAAAAGGAAGCCCACATGCCTAATTATGGCCTGTATGGGGACCCCAAACACGTGTTGGCCCATTCAGAAGCATGTTCTCAAAGGGAGCTTAGCACGCACATGCGCATTAAGTCACTGAGTATTTATTCTGGGACATTCACAGATATATGTTAATTTGGATGCGAGGCCTTCCAAGACTAACTTCCAGACACACACGTGGCTTGCTGCAATGCTGGTTCTATTCGCATGTGCACAGCGTATTTACGACAATAATGAAGTGACATGCATTCACATGCACAAATCTATACTTGGACTTTTACCACTACTAACTAGTTCTATTCTAAGACAAGCGCTACTTGCCGACGCATGCAGAGAGGAGGATTTCAGGCAGGAAAATTGCTTACTGTAGTCCCTTCCTTGATCAATAACTTTGGGTTCAGTTTCTCCAGTGTGTACGGGTAGGCAAGGGGATTCTTTGTGAAGTGAGAAGCTATTTCAGTGAAATACTGTCATCTCTGCTTCAGTTAGTTACTACAGGAAAAGTGATTTCGATGGCAGTTACCTAGTAAATATGCACAGATTCAGTCATTGATAATACCACTTTCTGTAGTGGAAGGGAGAAGAAATCAGTCCCCAATTTATAAACTAATAAAAGAAGTTTTGACTGTCAGAATGGGCTGCACAATAGCATGTGCGTATATGCAGGAACTAGGAGAACTCGCTTCACACATGCAGGTTCAAGATTAGCACAGGGTATAGAATAATGAGAAAACAGAGTATTTGACAGTTGCTTTTTTGAAACAGTATTCCAGTTCAAAAACTACAGACTTTGTTGAATTCTGCTCTGCGGAAAGAAAATTTTAGTCCACGGCATAATTATGATTCAAATGTTGTCAAGTGGAAAGTGCATTTGTGACTTAGTGCTCACATCTTATTTCATTTGTTCATTTAGTTAATTGTTTTTTAATTAAAGCTCACACAAGGGTTAAACCGTTAGCACGTCTTCACTTTTAAAATTAAGGATATTACTATTCAGCTCTTAGTGATATTAAGTGATGGAAAAACAAAACTTGAGAACCTTCTATTTCTTAGTGAGTTTGCTAAGATCATGTTAATGCCACGCAGAAGCTGCACATTGATATTCATTTGCTTCAAGACCAATCATGTCTATTTCCTTAATGTGTTCACAGGTAAGGGAACAACCCTTGACATAATCTGTCAGTAACCTTTATTTTATTAATTTATTTGCTTGGGATTTGAGAAAGGTGCCTAAACATGTTCATCCACAGAGATGCAGTAGACTCCATGTCACCTTGTAACTTGTATTTTTGTTTATTTTGAAAATATCTAGCTAAAACTGGCTGAAACTTATTTGAAAATTGCCTATTTGAATCATTGTATAACTTGAGCAGATTTCTTTGTCCCAAATGTCAGATAAATGTGGAGTCTAATGTATATCTTTTGCCAGCTTATTTCCTTTCTTTGTATTTTCCTTATTATCCAGTGCTAACCATATACTTATGATGAGGTCACATATCAAATGCAGTATTACTTGTTTAGTGACATTATCAGGAATATGCCTTTCAAAACTTGGAGTGTTCAGAAAGGTGAACAAGCTGCAAGTAAAAAATTAGGTCATTTCTGTAATTATCTGTGGAATGATGATTCACTTTTGTGACAGATGGGGTTTCCATTATGAACATCTTCCTTCTTTTCCCTTGCCGAAAAAGATATAGATTTTGTCCTTTATAACTGTTACCCGACAAATATCAGATTTTTATTTTACTTGTAACCTGTAAAACATGCCATATATTCTTTGTGTTACTTCAATTCCAAATGCATTATTCGCTAATTTGTGAAAGAAAAGTGCATTTTTATAATCTGATAAGAATATTTGTATAACTTCAGAGAAATGTCAAATCATCCGTGGAAGCGTCTTCTCTCACCAGGAAGTTGCATAGTTCTAAAAAGCAATTTTTTTAAAAGTTAGATCACATGACCCAATATCATTCATCTTGGTGAGAGCCAGTAGGATTTCTCTTTGGATGCTGCAGCGGTTAATAAACATGGAAGAAAAAAATAATAATAAATAGGAATTGAGGAATTGTATTTCTGGAACTCGACGGGTGGAACTGGGGTAAAAAAGCAGATATGGTGATTCCAAAACTATAAAAAGTTTATCAGTTCCACGAGTTATCTGTCGTATTGTGAAATTAATGATCACTTGCTTGTGAAAAACTAATAGTTAAGGTGTCTGGCTGGACCGACTGAGCTACGTTAGTATGAGAGCTTATTGATATAAATCTATAGATTAAAATATCGAATGTACATCTGTAAAGTAGAATTTAGAAAAGTTGCACTGGGCAAAAGCTGTCAACGTGGTAGGGCTGTGTACGCACTCGGTGCAGCAAATTTATTTAAGTTACCTTTGAAAAAAGACAGTTATTTGTTCAGAAATGTTATTATCACGATTTTTGAAATATTTCATGCAGTTTCATTGCAGCTTAATCGTGAACTTATTCTCTCTTCACATGCCACAGATTTTTCACTATGTGAACACAGAGAGAATCAGGTGCGGAGCGGGCTAGCTCTCATAGTGATTGTGTAAACTTTAAGTCATTGGATCTTATTGGTTACCAGATCATCATGTAAAGCCAATCAAATACAAGCTTACAAGCCTTAATCAAGTCTTCGTGTTGTGATTATTATTATCGCATGTCAGGTGCAAATAAAAAGGAAGTTGATGTAGTTGCTTAATTTTGGATGCGCAAAATGTATTCGAGCACACCAAAGCCAATGTCATCAATTATCTCATTTGACAAACATAACTAATCCTTCCGAGGGTTATAACCTTTTATGTCAAGAATTTTTAACCATTTATATACAACTTTACATACAATAAAAGAAGTTCGTTTCATTTGAAGTAGATGCACCAGATATTTCAATCGTGCGTTGAAAATTAACAACTGAACATTAAACCTACTCGAATAGGAAACAGCTACCCGCACTTCAAAAAAATCTTAAATGTTAAAGTTTGCTCAAAAAGTAAAAAAAAGCTCTACAGAAATGAAGTTCTTGTCCTAAACTTGGGGGAAAAGAATAGATACCTTTCCAGCCAATGTTCCGTCAGACTACAGACAGTCTTCACTTTGGAAGGGCGCTGTGGTAGATGTGACAGGCCTAGCGCCAACTGTCGCACTCACTGGCGCAGGTGCGCCCCCCCCTCCCCCCTCCCAAAAAAAATGCGGCAAGTAAGAGCGACAATTAATTAATAAATTAACAAAGAACAAATTAATTAAATTTAATTAAAATATATAAAGCATTTTAAAAGAAAGAAGAGGCGGGGAAATACAGAAAGCATTAAGTGTTTTGACAAAGAAGTGGCGAAAATCGTGTTAATTATACCAAATGCTAAGAACTCCCAAGAACAAGATTTAAAGCCTTGACTATAGTAGGTCTCAGGTTAGAACTTTCCAGTTAAGTTGGGATGCTCAAGCTTTATACGACTGTCTGAATACATACGGTTAGCTCCTGAGGAAGGAAATTTAATAACACAGGGTTTACGTTAATTACACGGGATGCGCTCCTTGTGGTGAGCTAATCGTAATCATAATGCCCACCAAGATGGGTTTAAGTACCGGCGATCGATTTCCAGTGAAAACAAGTCCAAGATTTACTATGTGATTAATAAGATAAGGGCGATTTATAACATATCCAATACTCTTCTATATACTCTCTTACCAAAGGATGCGCTAGTTGTTTGTCACAAAAATGTTGTATGACACACACTGTAATTTTGTATACTATTTTAATAGCCCCTGATATGCGAGAAGAACTCTTCTATTATCCCTAGCTCTAATAGTCAGTGCAATTCTTATCGGTCTACTGGTCGTCATGCATCAAAGTTTGTCATCTCTGTGGTCTGAACTACACGTACACACGTTTAACCATATGGTCACGAACAGCGAATTTACATTTACGCTCTTCACTGTGATTATTATCTGTTAGTTTAATACCACGCGCAAACATATACGTTTGTGTTCACGTACACGCGTGACAGAAATGGCAGTCCGCTATCGAACCGTAGTTGTAAAGACCTTCTCTACAACTTCTTGGTTCCCCATTACTTTATACGGGTGACATTCGTCCCATATACCAACCCCAATACTCCGCCTAACTCTAACCTGTACTAATCATATGGAACACCGGACTTCCATTCCTAGGACTACCATTCCTGTCTCACCTGTAATTAAGACCTTTGCGTGGCCTTACACAGACTTGTGAACACTGGCAAGTTCGCTCAAAAATGAAATATTCCTTTTTTTCTACTCCACGTTACTTCACTGTTGCTTGATTCCAGCGTTACTAGTCCAAACAACATACAGTTTACGCTCTGGCAAAATTGCAACAGAATTAAGATAAGACAAAGTGTGTTACAGTAATAATATAATTAACTGGCATTGATACATGTGATGAAATAACAAAATGCAATGCAATAGGAATCCTTTCAATACAGTTCATTTTCTCAATATCTCCTAGTCAGCATAAAAAAGTTACAAGACATTATTCCATGCATGGGACACATGAAATATCCAGATACATGTAGTTGATATGTGACTCAGTAAATCATCTGTAATAATTCATACCTTGAAGCCAATAATAGTTGAAATTGCCGTTTCTTAGACCCCCTTCCCATACCTAGAACGATCTGTTTAACCATATGGCTGTCGACATTGTTCTCATTATTATACAGTGTTGCACATTTGGATGGAAACTGTCAACCATAGTTCATGCTAATTTGCCAGTGCCCCGATTTGTTGGGACTTTTGATGTAATATTTGGGACCCCCCCCCAAAAAAAAAAAAAAAAAAAAAAAAAATCTGTTGCAATTATTTTTCGCTCATCTCCACCTCCGAGACACTACACTCATAGTTTGAATCGCTGACGATAAGATCTAAATAAAGCTCATATAAAGATAGCCCCGGTGTTGTAGCGGCACATGGCTCAGTTTGGCGCCGGCGTCTGTGTCTATGCGCATGCGCATTCTTCTGGAAGCTGACAGCAGTGCTGTTGTCGTTAGGGTCATGGTCGGCGACTGCTGAAATATGGGATAATACAAAAAACTGATGTACGGTATATAACATAATGTTTTCTTTCTACAGCGACATGGTTGATCCTTCGATGGAAATTTATTTATTTATTTTATTTTATTTCTTTATTTTTTGTTTTCGATTGGACGAAGAAAAATGTGAATTTTTGTGTCATGTCACCCTCAACACTCGCATATCAGATTTTTGAGTGGTCAAAAGTTCTGTGCACCTTAGTTAAGTCTCATTAGAAAAAGAAACTCGTACCATGCCGTTTTTTCCTTGTAGTTCCAGCCGTGAAGTCCGGCCGAGCCGTTCTAGTTGTACTGCACCGATTGTTAGTACAAGTCCACACCGGGACAGATCCTATAGCGTAATCGAGGGTGAACAGGCAAAACTGCAGAACCACTGGCTGAAATAAATATAACAGTATGGTTTTTATTGCACTAGGTGAGGGATTATATACATGCCCTAACATGAACGCGTACACACACACACACACACACACGCACTTACCCTAACCCTTACTACCCTCTACCAGGGTGGCATTTAATATTGGGGAAAATGGGAAAAGCCAGAGGTAGTAAAATGGCCGTCTATTCACCTAAAGACATATCTGTGAATATCCTGTGAAAAGTCAATCTGTGGCCCTGGTAGAGGGTAAGCCTGTAGCCTACTAATCATATGGGCCCCCAGACTTCTGTTCCTTAGACTACCATTTTTGTCACATCGGGCTAAATGCTATTTTCTTACCCTGAGAAACTCAATATCTTTCTCGTCCAGGTTCGAGTTGCTGATTCCAACACAGTCGAGACTTTTGAAGTAGCAGTCGGACTCCGCCTGGCAGGTCTGGCCGGCCACTGCAACAATATCTAATATTACTTGTTTAGAACATTTCGACAATTGAGGTAATGTCAAATTCGGTTAATGTCTTTCCTTTCCTAAAAATCCATACAATTGATGAAAGCTTACGGAATGCAAGGAAAATTATATTGAGATATTCAAGCCAAAAACGAGCAGTTCGCTAGGCATTAATAATAATAATAATAATAATAATAATAATAATAATAATAATAATAAAACTTACCAGCTATACATGTCGCGCCTGTGGCGTTGACAACAGTGGTTGTCCCTGGTGGGCAAAGGCACACATACGGGGTTTGCAAGAATATTAAGAAGGCATAGTTCAGAGCGCAGATAGTAGCGTCTGCGCATGCGTACGTAGTGCCGAATACTCTGTTCTCGGGGACAGTGCATGGCTGGAATAAGCCGGGCCCAGCAAAATCACCCATTACCGCTGTCCACGGCTATCTGATGCACTGTCTCTGGGCTGCCAAGAAGTGAATATATATATATATACATGTACATATACATTAAATATGCAATGTTACAAATAATTATATTTACTTTGCCTTTAGGAACCAAGTAGTACAACTGTGTACTGCATATAAAAATCACGACGGCTAGCGACTCTCTGTGGTAGGCCTATATCTTTATTTTAAATCTATAATATAGAAAATATCCATACCTGATGAGTAGTAGACACAGGTCACAAACGCAAATTGACAACTTGTCCAAGGATATTTATACTATTGTAATCACTGTATATTTCAGAGCATCAACAGAGTATTAGTTATCCTTGCTTCTACGCTATACACAACTGTACATGTACCAGATGTAGACTATGCAGTGGACTACAAAACTGCGTACAATTGGTACTGAGGTTTAGAGGAAATGGAAAAGCATCTCCCAATTTGGTAGAAGATATTTGCATAATTATAGAGAATCGTCTGCTGCGTGGGGTGGACTTCAATTTGATAAGCGTTCCTTGATCTCTGATACTTTGACGTTGCGAATAGCTTAAGATACCGCAAACTTAAACTAGTTCTATTAATAATAATAATAATAATAATAATAATAATAATAATAATAATAATAATAAGTAACGTAAAAGCAATGGTCACTAAAATATCCTTGGTATGAAAATATTCCCTCCACCAATTCTCATTCGAGTCACGTCACTTGTAGCTTGAGAGAAGTAGAGAATATACAGGTAGTTGCGGTTCTCTGTTTGTTTGTCCTTTTTAAAAAAAACACGAATAATGCACTGATAAGAAATGACATTCTGTATGTGGATAGCGCTGCTAAGATACACGTAATTACCATGCTCTCGCCGTAGTTAACTAGCTGAGTAGGCTACACATTAGAATTGTCTCACCTGGTTAAGATAGGAATTCAGACGAGGACAGAATATTCAGGAAACAGACGCAAGGTTGATATGATGTATCTTGGGGGGGGGGGGGTGTTTCGGTGCGTTAATTTCTTCGCAAACTTCAGCAGCTTAATAATATACTGGTACATGTACCCTTAAATTCATAGCGACGTAGCTAAGAATAAGGAATGTGACACTGATCCGAAACTGTAGAATAGACTAATAAAAGGTGTGCCGTGGAGGGGCTTTTACAGCCGCATACGTATTAATGGTAGTTATAAAATTTGGACAAAATAGGCGTCTGTAAGGACAAGTATTGGACAAACCCCCATTTACATTGGGCTTGCGACCATTTGAAATACGATTTTGGCCTATTTTCGCAATTTCATGCTCGTCGTCAAGCCCGAAACCAACAATTTTTAAAGGGAGGGGGTTACATCTTCTGGAAAAATGGACCATTTACCATGAAAACTTCGTGTATCTAGATCAATTTTTACCCAGAGCGAACCTTTTTCCCGGCAAAAAGGGAGGTTCGTTGGAACTCCTCGAACCCCCACCCCCACCCCAAGGGTACAGGCTTGGTCACCCCGGTGTGAAATTGGCATAAATGTTTGTAATAAGGGAAATATAATGAGTTCAACCCTAATGTGACAGAAATTCCGTTGACTAAAAGAAAACCCCAGACTGTCGTTAATTATGATACCAGTGACACCAGAACAAACAAGAGTGCTGTTTCATTTTTCTTCCCGGCTCTATTCGTGTCATAAAACACAGGTAACAAATAAACCATCACATGTTTATACTTCGCAACCCCAAAACAAACAGTATTGCGGTCTCTCGTTTGTTACAACGCGTCTGTCAAAGGGGGACTTTTCTTTCGTTATTCTTTTATCTTTATTTGTGTGCGCGTTTCCCTTTCTTTTGAAAAGAATGAGAGTTGTTATCAGAAGTGCATAAGTCTCCGTGAAGAGAACTGGATGAAACAAATGTCCCCGTTTTTGTTTGAAGTGTACTCCAGTACGTGGAAGATCTATAGACCCGATAACATCATCTGGAAATTCACCTGTTCTCGGGAGTTAAATAAAATATGGTTCTGGATATAGCAGCTTATGCCTTGTTATTCTGACTAATACTTGCAACGTATTCAGGGGATTTTTATGAACGCTGTCATTTCTGATAGGAAAAAATTCTGTGTCAGATAGAAAGTTTAAAAAACAATTTAATTAAATGATAAGAGCGTGAAAAATGTATCTATCGATATTATTATTGTCAAACATTATATTTTGAGAAAGGGAAACATTTTAACACACTGAAAATTTCATGACATCGATTAAACAAAGTTTCCCACAATCAGGGGCTTAAATTGAGAAAAGATGACATGTTAAATTTTTTGCAATTTTCTGACGCAAACCTGCCTTACATATAAATAAAGACAGTGTGTTTGATAAGAAGAAATGAGCTTTCCGACGGTCGCACACCAAGTAAAATGGCAACTCGAGACGACGATTATTTTGCCTCAAGCTCGGTAAGTTATTGATTGATATGTGAGAATTATTATACGTTTTTTTCCCCTGCAATCTTAATGGTTGGTTTAAAATCAATTTACGAGATATTAATATATAAGCTTTAAATTTTTTCCCATTTCTCCCCTTTTTGCAATCATTTTACGTTTTACGGGCGCAGAATATTTTCATGTTGCTGGACACCTCTGTTTATGACTTTTCCTTGCTATATATTTTAATGATTTTTAAAAACGGGATGCACAGAGAATAACTTTCAAACTTCAACAGCAGGTGCCATCAAAACGGCAGGGTAAACTACATATCTTTACTGTTAAAAACGCAACGCTTACATGCAGTCAGTATCAATAACATCGGAGATCGAAATATTGGTTCCAAGTCATTACTTCGGAGATCAAAATCATAAGTTTGCGACTTCAAGTCAAAAACGGCATGACTATCAAAGAAAGTACAGAACGGCATCATATTCTTAGGGGCCATTCAGAATGGATGATCCGAGTACAAACTGATCCGCCGACTAAATATGGCCGATTACACTTCAAAAGCGATATCGCTGATTCCCGATGGTTTCCCAGCCTCAACACGCACCAACAGATTAAACGGATTAAATCTCGCTCATGTGGAGGCGAGGATACAATCAAGGAATTAGCGGCATCGCTTTAGAAGTGGGGTCGGCCATATGTAGTCGGCAGATCAGTTAGTGCTCTGATCATCTATTGTGTATGGGGCCTTATACATGTACATTCCAAACGTGGTTTAATCAGTGTGAGTTTCGCGATTGTTCATGGCATAAACTAACTGTTCGATATCTACATGTATCTTCCCCGTTCACCCAAGTTCACTATACGAATTCATAAACTGTACTTACTGCATATACATGGTAGGTCACAAGCTTGCACTCTGTTTTATGATATTGACAAAGCCCTTTTCCTGTCTGTGTTGTAGTAACCTTCGCCGCATTCCTATGCATAGGGATTGAAATGTTTACATTTTATTGATGGGGTTATGCGTGTGCAGCGAAGTATATTTTCGTGTTTACCTTATCTTTGTTGCAGGTTACAACGAAAAAAAAAAAACGCTGGATTGTAGCCTACTTACAAATGCAGATATAGAATTAATAGTAATATTAGGCCTACTTATCTTTCTGTATCGTACTTGTAAGAAGGAATCAGTGAGTGGTCAATTTCTCAATAGGGCTTCAGTCAGAATTTTCACAATACCCACCGATTTCTCATTTTTCCAGTTCCCGCACCGTCAAACCGTGCAGGATGCGAACGAACCTCCGCCTTCATACAGTGAGGTTATGGAAGGAGAGAGGAAAACCGGCTCCATTACCGCCAATGTGAACGATAACGCAGCCATGGCCCTCAACGCTGGTTTCCCTGGCGACCACCTCGAGCCCACAGCGCCACCTGACGAGGACGAGGGTGACTGTGAAGAAGGAATACCGTTTTTTCCGGGCGTACATGTTGCTCCTTTAAACAATGACTCTCGTGACATTCACGACAGAGCGCAACAAACACGTCCCGACACAATTCCTCCAAAGAAATCTCCTCCAAAGGAAATTCCTGGCCCACTGGGAAATCCCCATCCACAGCACTATAATGCACCACTTCATGCCCAGCAGACGATGCTGACGTTCTCACCTGACTGTGAAAAGGGACTCATTACGACACTAGCGCTCAGAAATGGTGCACAGCACCACCTATCGTTTGACGACAGAAGCTACAGTACTAGTAGCAGTTTGGGCAGCTTACAGAGTTTCAATGGGTGCTGTAACTGCAAGAGGAAGGCAAAAATTGTGTGTACTTTGATTGGTATCGTTTGTGCTTGCATTACATTTTTTGTGTTTCTAATGCAGTTTTTGGCTCAGAAAAATTAGTACACCACCAGAAGGCTGTACATGAAAATTAAACGGAGAGGAGTGGAGGACCTTTTTTGACGCCCTGGACGCCCAACGGCGTAAAGGGAGATAGTAGTAGGCCTAGAAGTAAATATTACACATAAATATAGTAGTAGTAGACACGTCAAGGTATCATGCATATCACACATCAATGGGGTGCATTTATTGTGATGTAACGCAAAATTTTTAAGAACATGCAGTATAAAAGACCGCCAGCGGTTTTTCTTTCACTTAAGAAGATTCCACTTTCTCACAAGTATAAAATTAAGATTTGGCAATGTGATGTAAATAATGTAAATCGTGTGTACATAAAGGAGTTTTATTTTTTATAAATAATGTAAATCGTGTGTACATAAAGGAGTTTTATTTTTTATTTAAAGAAACACGTGTAATCCAAGAACATAAGAGAGCTGTGAAATAAACTTTACTGAGTCAATCGGTGAGTTACACAATGGATTATTTATTTCAATATAATGTTTAAAATCATTATGTGATCTCGTTACTCATTTCTTAGAAAATGAGCTAAGTGATTAAAAAAAAAAGAAATCATGCATTTATGTGTAATTCATTCATCTTGACTGAAAAAAGTATTCAGTGGAATTTCGCGAAAAAGTCCAGAAATGAAACGATGTAAACCAGTCCTCAATTGTCTCTAATTTGTTTTATACCTTTTGTATTTCATAGTATAATTACATTCATGTTTTGAAACTTTTAAAATAGTTCTAAAACGGATTCTGTGCATTTTACTGAATGCATAATGGGTGAAAGTTGATATCTGTCAGTTCTGCAAAACATTGGTCACTGATACCCTCCCATAGAGACATCTAGTAACACATTATTGATCAAGCATTCAACATCATGTGCTGTTAAGTCGCGTTAAGCGTCTTCAGATTTCAAAGTGCTGTAGACAGATCAGTCGAGTCCTGAAAAATATGAGAAAATTTGTTAAGTCTATTGTAATCTTGATTACAATCATTTTTTTTATTTAAAATAAGATCTATTTTTATCTAATGAAAACTTAGAAATCTAGACCAATTTTTAAAAGATTTGTCTTTTTTTTTCTTTAAACTACTTTTGATTCGATTTTTGAAATATTACAAGTATAGTATCTAAATCACTTAATAAATCATGCACGCTTAAAATTTTTTGGTGTGTAATATTCACCTTCACGGCACATTTAACATTCCAGGCGGAGCAGTCTCTTCATTGCGGTAGAGGAGATCTCATTCATCACATCTGACACATCCTCACCACATTCTTCGTATACGTTGGCAACGCAGTCCGCGTAACTGTCGACCCCTCTGGAATTATGCAGAAAACATCAGTTTCATAATTCTTTTAACATTATTTTTCAACTAGATGTCGCAAATAACTATATAATTGTTAAATTTGTTTGCAAGGAGTTAAATGTCCACTAGCACCAGTTACACAGATTTCGAAAAAAAGCTCTAGGTAATTAATGCGCTGAACCACGAGTCACATGATATATAGGGGCCTACTGTCTACAAACAGATTCAGATTGTCATCAGACAGTAAAAGCTGGCTATTAGAGAGAACAGTGTTCAGCAGCAAAGTAGAACAAAATGCTATTAGGCCCCTATATCATTTAAATAAGCATTGGTTCAATTAACAGACGCAGATCCATGATAACAAGATGCAGCAGAAAGCGATTTGCACATCCATCCTAACTGCAACCATTTTCCTCACCTGTACCAAGCAGTTGTAACAACTTTTTGAAAATATCTAGCAAACAAATGCATTGTAGGTGCTTGTAAAGAATGGAAATCGACTCACTCGCAAATAGTTTCTCGGCTCACAAGTCCAAACAGGCTCATGGCGATTTTGACCCCTAATCCGGCCGCCTGTCGCTTACACACCCTCAGCGCCTCTACGTTAGTCTTCGTCACTTCTTTCAGACACACCAAGTGGTTCAAATACACTAGAAATCATAGAATAAGGAAAGAAAATCAATAAGTGGACAGTGGACGTAAGAGTGCTAATTGCTCCGTTTCAAATCTGGGTATATTACAAATATAAGATAGTAGGCCTACTACAGTATGATAGTAACCAGTAACGAGAATGCATTTTTGGCAGTCTATTTAAGTTTTTGGGCAATTCTTTATGTTGTTTTCTTGTGGATGTTTACTTTTTTCTTCATGATAATCATCACGTAAGCAAGAACTGATAAGTTTACAACACGATCATTTGGAACGAAGTACACAGGATGACTTATGCTTTGACTCAGGATGAGATGTCTGAAAAAAATCAGAAACAAAAATAAAAAGGGGACGCCCAGGTATTTACCGCCCATCTTGGGGCCGCATATGACTCCAAATGTCGCCTCCAGTCCGTCCAGCAGCTTGCCGTAGAGGAATCCGGGGCGTTGCGGCAGACAGCGCTCCTTCAAGTCTGAGAAACACTCTCTCATCTCTCCAAACAACCTGAACGATATAAAAAATCACCTGACCGTGACCATGTTCGAACTTGACATGCTAGTCAATGAGTGATCACCATGTTTTCGGAGCGAACGAAAACATTACTTTTTTCAGTTATTGCGGCAACATGGTAGATACAAGAGAGAGAGAAAGAGACCTATAATTTTTTTAACTCTATAAGAAAATAAGTACAATTTGATAAAGAACTAATTACGTATCTCACTCACTCAACCTCACGCACATCAACAGCTATGAAATGTTCTGATGATTTTACCATAAACTACAAACATCAGTTAAAACGACAGTAAACTCTAGGTCTTTTCATTAATCTCTCATCACTATTATTCAGTACTTATTTTTTCAATACATAGATGCCAACGACATACCCACACGACGCCTCTACGTAATCACGCCTGGTGGTCGGCAGTTCCTCCCTCCCCATGTCTCTCCCCGAGGTGAACAGGCTGATTCCCTTCTCCTGTGCCCACTGTATAAGGGGGTTCATACAGTCAAGCACCTGCCGGCCTCGGCAGGGGGCCAATGGCGCCTCGGTCACGACCATTGGCGCCTCGGTCACGACTAGTTCTCCATCGAGTTCGTCGTCAAATTCCACGACTGTTTCTCCCACGGGTTCATCTAAAATATTCACATTATTATGTATGGTTATATAATACACTATCTAACATAGAAATAGGAATAAATGCCGTATGGCTGGGAAAGGTGAACATTTTCTACGCCTGTAAGTACTTCATCATGAAAATGTCTGTGTTGATATTTAACGAAAACAAGAGAGAGGCACGCACTGGGCAATGACCATACCCGAAATAAATTCCTTCATTCATAGACACCCTGTGTTTCAGTATGTTTACTGTAACGACTTACGTCTGCTACATTAGAGGAGAGTCTCCTATGTGACTTTCAAACTCGGGGTGAGTATACGGTTATTTCCCGAGCTCCCGGGCAGCAGTCTCTAAAAACCAAATAGTGTTTTGCCTCTTCTCGTACATGCACCTATGCCCCTACATTTGGTTCCTTTTTTGTCATTGCCGTAAGTCGTAGTTTCTGTGATATTATAAAGAAGTCGTGGCAGCTAAACAACACAAACTCCTAAAACCAAACAACTCTCTTGGATACGGATTCTTCTCAAATACGTGGAATTAAAACCACGTGTGATAACAGTTGTCAGGACGGAAGGCGTTAAACCCTGACAAACACCAACAGGATCACACAGCAGGAAAGAATAACCCTGAAGAGAAAGCTGATGGGCAAAATCTGGCACAAGGGCTCAGTTTCTTGACCCGGACGTCCTGCAGAATTTCAGAAAGAGAGACGCAGACCATCTCTTAATTTAATTGCATTTGAACCGCCTTTCACAGTGAAAACAATTCCCAGCCCAGCCATACAGAGACTGTTCTGATTCAAAAGGGAAACACATGCTCTCTTTACTCGTTTATTTTGTATTCTAAAATTATTTACCTGTAATTACTTTCAGCCTGATTGTACCTTACATGTCAAGACGGAATCGATGAACAGTTCGGTTAATAATTAAAAATCTAGAAGGGTCACTTATTGTTTAACTATTCATTTATTCAAAGATCTTATTCACTGCTAGTGGACAGCAGCATCAGCGACCAGAGGGCTTAAAACCGATTTTATCCTTGTTTCGCGCTTTCATTTTGGTAGAGACTGAAAAGTTTGCTTTGCACTTCAAAGCATCACCATGTGATTGGAAAACGTTAGCTGTCAGCTCACATACTTTTACACGTATCAAAACTGTTGCAGAAATCTACGTAAAGTTGTGATTAAATATACCAGCATTTCCATCAACATAAACGGAACTCTGACTGGTAATTTTTTACAAAACCGCACAAAATTAGAGCTGTAAGACGCCCGTTTAGCCTCTGCAAGTTCCCAAGAATTTGAATATTATATTAAATCCATGTAAACCCAACTTACCATCGGCGTAACACGCAGTAAGAAAGACTGCGAACAGAGCGAGAGCAACGTTTATCTTCATCCTCTTACAGTTCAGCCTTCTTGCAGAATGGTATTCCCACTCCAGCGTTCTTTGTGTTTGTCCGTTCCTATGCCTGTGCCTTACCCTCCTTCACACTGTTCCATATTCCGGGCCTTACTTTCATTTATTGCACTTATGTTTTTGAAATTGCCCAAAATCCCTTTTAGATAGTATCATTTCAGATCGATGATTCAAAAATCTCAATAAACATTCTTCGCAATAAGCGTGATGTTTTGTCCAAATTGGTCGACAATTATCAATTAATAAAGCGTCGGACTATGTTTCTTTCTTGAGCTATGATTTAACATCCGCTTTCAGAGGCTCTTAGCTTCATGCCAGGAAGGCCATCGAAACCCCCCAGATCTCTGCGCACGTGTTCAGCCATCATGAATTATTTATTTATTTTCAGGTCGCATCCAAACATCTTACATAATCAAAAGGGGGATCGTTGAACTATTACGTCCACATTATCCCAAACTGCTATAAATAAGAAAATGTGATGTATAAATTACCACTGCCTTCAACTTTAATACTATTTTGAAACTTCAATACACGTTGCCTTACACTCACGTTCACAGGCGTATTAGAGAGGTGTGGAAAAGCCACCCTGGACTTCGAGGAAAACGGCGAAGGCAAGCAGTTACAATTACACGTACAGTGAAGCAGAGAGGAGAGACTACATTGCAGTCTGGAACTTAGGGTGGGAGAAGAGGAGTCTCTGTGCAATTAAGTTAGACTGATTTTCAATCAATTAAACTACCTTTTTTACACGGGTTAAGAGTCAGGTCGTTAATTTTATCGTAAAAAAAGTAAAACTCATCAAAACACATTCTGATTTGACTTGTTGCTTTGCGACCTGATACATATACTGAGTAGCAATAGTCTGAAACATTCGCCCGTAAAGCGTTGATCTAAAAGTAGACCACGTGTGTCCCTGATACTGGGTCCCACCACTGTAAACAATATATGACAATCACCCCATTTCCATAGATTAGATCGACCTACTTTAGATCGACCTAACTCCCTGGGGGTTCACGCTAAATAGCTGTCAGCCGGGCGGACACGAAAGTTAATTACCCCTTACAGCTTGTAGTAGGCGGGACGGACATTTAAGTCGGATTATCTGAAAGTAATCTAGTGAGACTCCCCGCGGGGATAGATCGATCTAAAATCTATGGGAATAGAGCCAATGATAACAGATATGGTGACCCCAAACGTCCCAAACCTTATTTTTCCCCTCGATAAGTTACTTCTATAGAACTTTTTTTTTACCTCAAGTTGAGTAGTCCTACCTACCCTCTAATTTCAGGGTAAAAACACTTAAATATACATATATTTTAAAAATAATTTCAACATTTGAGTGGAAGAACCTCCACTCGACCTATACTGAAACATTCATTGTGCTCTGTGCGCACTTCACTAATTCGCAGCACTTCCTTTATTGCGGTAGAGGTGAAAATTTTTGTGAAACAAGGCGTTGCACCCCTCCCCAATCTTAAATGGGACACGAAGGTCAAGATTCACCCTCTGACCTCGTTACAACCTTTTAGGTTTATTGACTCCATTATTGTATTGTCATATCCGAAGAGGTTTTATATAACCACCATTATAGGAATCAGCAGCGGAGATAATCGAGAGCTACATATGGGACTATAGGAGTTTTCATACCATTTAACTGCAGACAGTTCGATGGAGCTGAAGTCCTTTACTAGTACAGCATGATTGATACAAGTGTGTGTGATATAAAGTACATGTAATTAATAGTTCAAACTGGGGAGACACACTTTTACGAAACCACACGTACGAGTGAGTATTTATTATATACTTATTTACCTCCGTATCAATATCTGTACCGTAGGGGTAATTCTGAGTTTGTTCACGCACCTTAGTTGTATTTCAAAGAATATATGAATAATATAACCGACTACAGAAAAAAAGGATACATTGAGGGGTGTGTGGATAATGATTTTAATATTGCCTAATACACGCTATCGTGTACTATATAAATAACCGGCTCCACACTGGAAAAGCTGTCATCAAATTTATACCTTCTAAGGTTTTCTTTGTCATTTCAAATAATAATTTTAGTGTCCCATTTGAAAATAATTTCGAATAAAATGTCATTCTATTTAGCATTTATCAGCTGCGTGATACTCAGTACATATCAGAGACGTACCATGTACAGGGTACGANAATGTTAACCAGTCTCTAATTGTCTCTAATTTGTTTTATACCTTTTGTATTTCATAGTATAATTACATTCATGTTTTGAAACTTTTAAAATAGTTCTAAAACGGATTCTGTGCATTTTACTGAATGCATAATGGGTGAAAGTTGATATCTGTCAGTTCTGCAAAACATTGGTCACTGATACCCTCCCACAGAGACATCTAGTAACATATATTGATCACGCATTCAACATCAAGTGCCTTTAAGTAGCGTTAAGCGTCTTCTGATTGCAAAGTGTTGTCTACAGGTCATTCGAGTCCTGGGAAATATGAGAAAAATAGTAAAGTTAAAAATGTGCATGCCAGTTCTTGATTCCTATCAATTTCATACAAGATATATTTTTGTCTAATAAAATCGACAACTTGAAAATCTGGACCAATTTTTAAAAGATTTTTCTTTTTTTTTCTTTAAAGATTTTTTATTCAATTTTTTATTTTTTTAAGTATGCTATATAAATCACTTAATAATTTTAAGATGCACACTTTTTAAAGTGTTAAAACATTTTATGGTGAGTTATATTCACCTCCACAACACATTTAACATTCCAGGCGGAGCAGTCTCTTCATTGCGGTAGAGGAGATCTCATTCATCACATCCGACACATCCTCACCGCATTCTTCGTATACGTTGGCAACGCAGTCCGCGTAACTGTCGACCCCTCTGGAATTATGTAGAAAACATCAGTGCCATAATTCTTTTAACATTATTTTTCAACTAGATGTCGCAAATAACTATATAATTATTAAATTTGTTTGCAAGGAGTTAAATGTCCACTAGCACCAGTTACACAGATTTCGAAAAAAAAAAGCCGTAGGTAATTAATGCGCTGAACCGCGAGTCACATGATATATAGGGGCCTACTGTCTACAAACAGATTCAGATTGTCATCAGACAGTAAAAGCTGGCTATTAGAGAGAACAGTGTTCAGCAGCAAAGTAGAACAAAATGCTATTAGGCCCCTATATCATTTAATTAAGCATTGGTTCAATTAACAGACGCAGATCCATGATAACAAGATGCAGCAGAAAGCGATTTGCACACCCATCCTTACTGCAACCATTTTCCTCACCTGTACCAAGCAGTCGTAACGACTTTTTGAAAATATCTAGCAAACAAATGCATTGTAGGTGCTTGTAGTGAATGGAAATCGACTCACTCGCAAATAGTCTCACGACTCACAAGTCCAAACAGGCTCATGGCTATTTTGACCCCTAAACCAGCCGCCTGTCGCTTACACACCCTCAGCGCCTCTACGTTAGTCTTCGTCACTTCTTTCAGACACACCAAGTGGTTCAAATACACTAGAAATCATAGAATAAGGAAAGAAAATCAATAAATGGACAATGGACGTAAGAGTGCTAATTGCTCCGTTTCAAATCTGGGTATATTACAAATATAACCTAAGATAGTAGGCCTACTACAGTATGATAGTAACCAGTAACGAGAATGCATTTTTGGCAGTCTATTTAAGTTTTTGGGCAATTCTTTATGTTGTTTACTTGTGGATGTTTACTTTTTTCTTAATGATAATCATCATGTAAGCAAGAACTGATAAGTTAAGTTTACAACACGATCATTTGGAACGAAGTACACAGGATGACTTATGCTTTGACTCAGGATGAGATGTCTTAAAAAATCAGAAACAAAAATAAAAAGGGGACGCCCAAGTATTTACCGCCCATCTTGGGGCCGCATATGACTCCAAATGTCGCCTCCAGTCCGTCCAGCAGCTTGCCGTAGAGGAATCCGGGGCGTTGCGGCAGACAGCGCTCCTTCAAGTCTGAGAAACACTCTCTCATCTCTCCAAACAACCTGAACGAAAAAAAAATCACCTGACCGTGACCATGTTGGAACTTGACATACCAGTCAATGAGTGATCACCATGTTTTCGGAGCGAACGAAAACATTACTTTTTTCAGTTATTGCGGCAACATGGTAGATACAAGAGAGAGAGAGAGAGAGAGAGAGAGAGAGAGAGAGAGAGAGACCTATAATTTTTTTTAACTCTATAAGAAAATAATTACAATTTGATAAAGAACTAATTACGTATCTCACTCACTCAACCTCACGCACATCAACAGCTATGAAATGTTCTGATGATTTACCATAAACTACAAACATCAGTTAAAACGACAGTAAACTCTAGGTCTTTTTTTATTAATCTCTCATCACTATTATTCAGTATTTATTTTTTCAATACATAGATGCCAACGACATACCCACACGACGCCTCTACGTAATCTCTCCTGGTAGTCGGCAGTTCCTCCCTTCCCATGTCTCTCCCCGAGGTGAACAGGCTGATTCCCTTCTCCTGTGCCCACTGTATAAGGGGGTTCATGCAGGCAAGCACCTGCCGGCCTCGGCAGGGAGCCATTGGCGCCTCGGTCACGACCACTGAAGCCTCGGTCACGACTGGTTCTCCATCGAGTTCGTCGTCAAATTCCACGACTGTTTCTCCCACGGGTTCATCTAAAATATTCACATTATTATGTATGGTTATATAATACACTATCTAACATAGAAATAGGAATAAATGCCGTATGGCTGGGGTATGTGAACATTTTCTACGCCTGTAAGTACTTCATCATGAAAATGTTTGTGTTGATATTTAACGAAAACAAGAGAGAGGCACGCACTGGGCAATGACCATACCCGAAATAAATTCCTTCATTCATAGACACCCTGTGTTTCAGAATGTTAAACTGTAACAACTTTTGTCTGCTACAGTAGAGGAGAGTCTCCTACAGGGTTACCATTTAATATGGAATATTATTTTTTGGCGAGTAAATTTTCTACAGAATATTTAATTTCTCTCTAACTACTTTAAATCCAAAGCTGAGGTGTCACTCCATGTGTAGCCAGGTGTGTTACCTAATTACCATACAACTCTCGAAACAATTGATGCATGTAGTTGCATGTTCTGTGGTCAGAAATGTGAGGGGTGGTCTTTTCGGCAATTTCTGCCCTTGTATAAAAACGCATGGGTTTGGTCAATCTTTGGAGTATGTTTAGAGAAGCAACAAAGGGATCGCTCTGAAACTTGACAGGTGCCTTAGTGAAGATATGGTTCGACAGCTAAGCAACGCAGCTTACTATGGGATTCTTGCACTCAGAGAAAATGGCCAGAAACGGACATCCATTCCCAGGTAATTCAACATTTATCAGGAACCGTTTGTGAAGTCCTCCAAAGAAATGCTGCGACAGGGGCACCTTATCCAATACCTCGACTAGGGTGTCCGCGTATCACACCAAGAAGACAGGATCGCCTTCTCCTCAAAGGACGCCGTGCTGGTCGTACAAAGACAACCAGTGTCCTCAGAAAAGAGAGGAGAAAGTCATTCAAACGCCCGTTTCAAGGTCCCTCGTGAACAAGAGATTACTGCAAGCCGGTTATTTTGCACGAAGGCCAGTAGGGAAACCACTGTTAACAGCAGGTCATATACAGCGACGTCTGCAATGGGCTGGGGACCACGTGCGTTTGCAGCCAAAGCACTGGAATCACGTCGTTTTCAGTGATGAGGCCAGATATGGATTTTTTAGGGTTGATCGTCGAATCCGTGTCCACCGACGTGTACGAGGGGAATAAAACGATGATTGTGTACTGCCTAGGGTGCAAGCAGGGGATGGTAACGTCTCTGTTTGGGGAGCATTTCATGTCGGTGCCCAGAACCTGTTGGTTTTTCTAGGAGGCAACCTCATCCAGGATTCCTACAGAGACATTCTACAGCAAACAATGCTTCGATTGGTAAGAGTCATCTTCAGGAACAACTTTGTGTACCAAGACGACTGCGCAACCCCACATCGAGGCCGCAGAATCACTGTTTTTCTTCAAAACCAATGGGTTCAGCAACTGCAAACTCTCCAGATATGAACCCAATTGAAAATCTGTTGGCGGCAGTAATTCACAGAATTAATAGCTATGACCCTAGGCCGGTAAATTGTGATGAACTGCGACAGGCAAATATCACTGCGTGGAATGATATCTCTACCCAAACTCTAAAAATCGTGTCACAGGGTATGCCAGGTAGGATGAGGGCGCTGCAAGCGGCTGCTGTAGGTCATACCCGCAATTACTGACTTTTCAT